GAGAGACGAATAAGAGTTCCATGAGAATCCTTCCTTAAATGTGCAAGTCACAGCCTCTACCTTCTGCAAAAACAGATTAAAGGGATATAATTCAAAATAATCAGTCGCGCTGTGGCAAACATCGAAGAATGAACATTGAGAGAGAGAGAGAGAGAGAGAGAGAGAGAGAGAGAGAGAGAGAGAGAGAGAGAGAGAGAGAAGAAGGGTCAGGAAGACAGGGGGAGAGAAAATAAGCACTGAGGTTATGTCATTACCTTGTTCGAAGGCACTTGTTTCCTGTGAACGGCCTGTCTTGAATTTCAGACATGTGGAACAGACCGAGAACCTCTTCAATGCACGAATAAGAACCTTCAGGCAGTGAACCCTCCAATTGGTCATAAATCTGGAACGGGAAGGAAGAGTCTTATTCGTGTAGAGCTCTTTGCAGTCTCGCATGAAGAAGTCGTACACGTCTCTGCGCTGGTCGCTATTTGGCATACTTTCTGTATTGTATCGAAAATATTTATGCAACCAGGCGAGAAGTTGCTGTGATGAAGCAGATAATCGGAGTGATCCTTTGTTTGCATGCTCGTACAACACCATTCCTTCTCTGAATTCTTTGCGTATCTTTGCAACACGTGCAGTCGAGCATCCGTACAGCTTTCCCCACGCTTTTGTGCAAGCCTTTACCCCGTTGAACGTCACTCTTAACACCTCTAAATCTCCCTCATCCGAAAAGTATGACGCAACCCTCATCTCTGCGAGAAAGAAGTTGAGTTGCTCAATTTGTTTCATCGCCCAAAATTCTTCGCGCTTGTAGAAAACATCTACCGCCGTGAACTTCTTGTAATAGTTGGCCTTGCAGCAATCTTCCTTCAGAAATAGTTCAACATTCTTCATGGTCACGTGGTAGTTAGCTTTTTTGTTGTACACACGTACGTTCCTGCCGCGCTTTCCCAAGTTGTAAGGAGGTTTCTCACTCTTGCTTGATTTGCTGTACAATCCTCTTCTCACCTCCTGTGCTATTATCTTCTTCGCTTCTCCTAAAAGTTCTCCATATAGACTTTTCTTGAACATGTCGACATTTATTCCCGACTTGTTCTTCCCTTCATCATCCTCAGAGTCTGTGTCTTCTGAATCAACATCCTCGTTCGTTTCCTCCTCCTCATCATCGTCGTCGCTTGATTCGCCCTCCTCCTCATCGTCGTCACTAGGTTCCTCTTCCTCAGTGCCGTTGTCACGCAATTCTTGCGCCACGCTGCCGTAGAGTGTTTCTTTCACAACAAAGTTCTTGCTCATGTCCTGTTTATCGTCTCTCTCTCTGGATTGTTCGCCTTCAACGTTCGGGCACTGCCGCTTCCCTGGGCGCTCTATCAGGATTGTACACCCCATTTTGCTAGTTTTGCAGAGACCCATCACTGTGTTTGCTGCTCGACATGGAGCAATAACCTTTCTTTTTGTCGTGTTCAATCGCGGACGCTTCGGAAACAAACAGACATTGGTGGTCCTCTCACCAGTTGCACTGAGCTTCGGTAGAGGGTTTTGCTTCTCGCCTCCGCGTGTACAACATTGACGCAGGTCCGGAAACCACCTGCTATTCTTCGTCTTGACACTCTCGGCATCAACACTCTTCTTACATTGAGAAAGGTCTGGAAACGATCTCACGGGGTTAAATTTGTGAGTACTCTGAGTACATCTTTCGGTTAAAGAATCCATGGCAGGAACATATAATACGACAACCTATCTGGCATCTAGAAATGACGATGGCGTCACCTACAAAAGAGAAAACTCGGTGTTAGCGCGAGAAAGTGTGTCAGAGGACGACCGGAAGAGCGTCGCTAACGGGCGTAGACTTCTTGGACATGGAAGATATGATACGACAAGCTATCTGGCATCTAGAAATGACAATGGCGTCA